AAAGGAAGGAACTAGAGTCAATTACATGAGCTTAGGTCAGGTTTATTAAGCTCATTTGTGGTGTGCCCCCTAGCCTTAGAAATTGGTTAATTTCCTAATCCTATGCTTTGGTTCACCAGCATTAATGGATTTGATAACGAATATTTCAAATTCCTCTTTGAGGTAGTGAGCGCATAAATAGTACTTTTTTGGATGAGTGTAGATATCTCGTCCCGATCAGATTCCAAATAGATACGAAGTTAGAAGTGTGCCCAGAGGATCAATGACTCCCTAACTAATCTACTTTTTAGGGTTTTATGAAGCCCGCAAGAAAGGAGATCCCACACGCCAAGAGAATAAAATTAGCATTGAAATGAACTCTTTAGAAGTACAAAATATAAATTAAAACTACAATTTAAAGTTAATATCACACATTAATAACTAAAGATTAAATGAATTTATAGCTTTGAGCAACTTGTTGTGGCACCTCAAACCAATCTCTATAAATATCAAACCACAAAAATCTCGAAAACCGCAGACTCTGGGTTCGCCTTCCTCAGTAAGGAGTCGCCGAGGCTGAGGAAAGAATCGAATTTTCCCAAATTACCACCTTAAGGAAAAGTGAATCAATGAATCTGAATTTTCGCGCTCGGTATATTTATATATTTAGTTGAATGAAAATGATTTACTTTTAAATATAAACCCCCCATGTTTAATCCTTCATTGAAAAAAGGTTCTCTTATCTTTGGTAAGGTTTTATTTTTAAGGAGTCGCCAACCAAAATCCCTTAATTCAGCGGAAATAATTTTACGAAGCTCAGAGACAAATTATTTGAATCGACCTAAAAATACCAGTTTAAATCTCACCTCCAGAGATAGGTCCGGGAGCTTTTGGTAGGAAATTGGGTGAAGGTGTTAGGCAACCATATATTATAACGTCAACGGTGCATACGCCGGCACAACACCTCACTAGTTTGTCTCATAATTTTCACAGAGTAATTTCAATACTTCAAGTTAGAACTAAATAAAATTGAGATGTGAGAACACTTTCATGCATTTTAAATGGATAGCGGACTCTGCCACATACATTACATCTTCAATCACAATACACTTTCACTTGTAACCCATAACTCTGAAATCTACATAGGATATAATTATTCTCTCCGATGTGGTAGCTATTACATAATTCTCGAGCTCTCTTACCATACAAGAGTTCTCTCATGTTATATAGAGGTGTTCAAGCGACGGAGTGTTCTCTGCGCGGTCGTTCAAGGTCGAGATTCCGAAATGATTCCATGATACAAAGAGTCTCCAAACCCTCGATACCGCGGTTGAACCGTCTAAGGTTCCCGAGATGGTGTTCTCAGGGATGCGCGCAACCGCGCTCTGCACCGATTTAACTGTTAGTGAGCCCGGAGAGACGTGAAAGAGCGACAACTATCCAATTAAACAAATTCGTCGGCTTATCTATTACCACAGTAGGTGTTCTCTCGAAACTCTTCAAAACGATTCTTGAGTTCGCGAAACCGCAATTTTTGGCCTATTTTGCCGCTAACATATTGTGATTGATTAAAGAACTATAGTTATTGACGTTATAGAACAGCGGTTCCATACTATGCTTATAAAGTTATAATTATAGAAAATCTAGATATGAGATCGAAATGAATTAGGTTATTATACGTTTAACACTACTTTGTAAACAAATTAGTGTATTTTGGAGTCGCCACCCTTATTAGGGAAAATTCTCGAATCAACAAATTATTTGGAATCGACTAATCCAGTTTTAAACTAGAGATAGGGTCCGGGAGTTTGGTAGGAAATGGGAAGGTGTTAGGCACCCATTTCGTCCGGCTAAGCCGACCTCCTAGTTGTCCATTAATTCACAATAATTTAATAATGCAATTAACTAATAAATTGAGATGTAAAACCTTTCATGCATTTTTGGAAAAGATGCCAACATACATTCAAACTGTCACGCCCTGACTCTGAAACACAGGAAAAACGAGGAGTTACATTCCAGTTTCGGTTCCTTAAAGGTTCCAAAACCGACGATTCCGGTCGGTTCAGGACGGTTCCGACAGATTCCAGACGGTTCCAACCGGAACTGAAACCGTCGGTTCCGAGTGGTTTAGGGAACCACCGGTTCACGATTCCAAAACTGGTGGAACCGAAACTGAACCACTTCTAATTCCCAGTGGTTCGAAACCAACGGTTCTGGTTCCGAAACCGGATTTTGGCCACCCCTACTTTGAAGAATAGTTATTGCGTTTAGAACTGCTTCATAAAGCTTAAGTAAATTTAGAAAGACTCTGTGAAGAATAGTTATTACGTTTAAAACTACTTTACAAAGTTTAAGCAAAATTAGAAAATTGATTATAACTCATATTATGATTTATACTGAATATAAAAGAACATATTAGAACTTTGTATAATCACAGTAAAAAAAATCTAGAGTTCTAATGTTCCATGGAGATAAAGCTTATGCACGTTTGGAAACAGAAACTCATTAATAACTTTGCATTTCTAAAAAGATTAACAATTGTGTAAACAGAATATAATCAAGCAGAATTTCAGAAAATAAAAGAAGATAAACACAGAGATTTATAGTGGTTCGTCACTAACTCGCCTACATCCACTTCCCAAGACATCATCTTGAGATCCTCCACTATGTTATCTTTTTTCAAGGATAAGAAACAAACCAACTTTACAAGGAAATAGATCAACACCTAGATCTAACTTTTGTCCCACTAGATTTCTAAAATTTCTAGTCAACTTTTACCCTTTCTGTTTTGCAGAGAATAGAAAACTCACATCAAGATATTAGAATCTTACACACAGAGAAAATCGCATGATAACCTTTTAATACATAGCTTTTCACATAAGTTATTACTCAAAAGTTTTTCATTTAAAAGTCTCTAGCCTATAATAGATTACAAAAATCTACATAGACATAGAGAAACACGATTATAAGCATAGGAAGAACAGAAAACAGATTTTGAAAACAAAAATAAAGTTCAAAACTGTTCTTCAAAAATAGTTGTTACCAGTTTTCTTTTCTCTTAAAAAAATATCTCTTGAAGCAAATAGATGAAAAGAAAAAATACTCTTATAAAAACCTCACGTTTACAAAAGAAGAAAACGTTTTTATAAAAGGAATTAAAAATCTCGTTTAAGATTTTGCTTTTAAAGAGTATTTTGACTTTCCGAAAATAAAAAGATATGAATCTTTTACAAATACTCAATTAGTAGTTACCAAAAATATTTAAGCCAAAATCTTTTCACTTAGGTAAGTGGAATTAAAAAAATAAATATTTGACTTTTCTTTTTAATGTAATTTCAAGAATATCTCAAAATGATTTTGAGAGAGAGAAAAATAGATTTTGTGCTTATAAAGAAATATTCTCTTTATACTATAATATATCTTAAGATACTATCCACTAGACAAATTTTCAATAATCTTCATAGTATTCAAAGAATCTTGAATCGTAGAAATTTACCTCTTCAACAATTTTCATATTAAAAATCTGTATAAAATAACTTTAATACGTACAAGAATATTAAATTTATTTATTTTGCATAATCATCAAAATCTGAAGATAAAATTGATCCTTAAACCAACAATCATATAATTTCAGTTTATTACATTTTTATTAATTGAACCTCAATTCTTATTTCAACAAAAGATATTTTTACTAATTGAACTTCAATTCTTATTTCAACAAAAGATATCCTCCTGGAATTATTAAATATTTATTAAAAAATTAATTTAAAAATAAGAATAATTCACTATTCAATGTGAAACTAATAAAGTTGAAAACGATAATAAAGTATCGACAGTTGATTCAATTTTAGCTCGTTCATCAAAATCATAATACGATCAAGCCATTCATTAAAGTCAATCAATCATCTTTTAACTCCAAAAAAAGTTAATCAATCATCTAAAAGTAGAAACAGTGGGCCACCAGAATTTGCTTTTCCGCCCGACAATGAAACAAGAAGAGAACATAATTCTTCGACTGTTTTACACTTATTTGGCAAGAAAAAAAAAGAAAAATAAAATAAAGGATGAGGAATTGTCAATTTTTTCTCCTCTCCAATTTGAATAGAACGCATTGGTTCAGATAAAAAATATCTTTAATATTTTCCTCCACTCTCCCAAACAATACAAAATACCTTTCTCTGCATATTTTCCTCCCTTCAAAAAAAAAAAAAAAAAAAAATACAAATAATCACCTTTATAATCTCTGCACTATTTTCCTCCCTTCAAAAAAAATATAACAAAAATAGAAAATCTAAATCATACCCATCAAAACAAGAGGCTTCAGGAGATCATGACACCACTTCATGCAACAAATGTGACCAACCATGAATGCCTCGAAATAAATAAAAAAAAAACCAAAACAAAAAACCAAACATAAAAAAAAAAATAAGAAAAACAAAAAAGCAGACCAAGTAGAAATTCCAAGAATCGTGCCAGACCAAAAAAAACTTTGACAAAATATTCCACATAGACATTAATCAATCTAATATACTAAAACCACGGCCAAAACAAGAGAACCAAAAACTATCAGCTTTCTTTGTTCCCCACATAACAAGATGGCCACGTACCTCCGAAATGAAGCCAAATTCCGCACCCGCTAAGATAAGGCTCAAGAGTGCATGTGTTTTTCTCACCAACAACATGCCACGGAGCATAAAGTACAGAAATTCGCTGCTTAGAAACTATCATTTTTAGGGCAACCTAAGGACCACTAATACCACATGGCTTTTCACATTGCAACATAAAATATTCCTTCAGATAAGAAGCTTGATAAATGAGTTAAATAGTAATCATCACTCTGTACATAATACTAAGAACAACCCTATATATTCATTTATACGTATCAAAAAAGAGAACCACACATAAAAGATAATTAAGATATACATTATGCTAAAATTACCTCTCCGTATAATGGGATACACAAATTTAATTTGTGAAAAAAAAAAAAAAAAAAAAAAAAAAAAAAAAAAAAAAAAAAAGCAGAAAGTAGAAATCAAAGATCGTGCCAGACAAAAACTTTGACAAAATTCAATAGACATAATCAAATTATACTAAAAGCAACAAGAGAACCAAATATCAGCTTTCTTTGTTCCCCACATAACAAGAGACTATAGAATGAAGCCATTCCGCACCCGTAAGATAACTCAAGAGTGTGTGTTTCTCAGTACCAGAATTGCTGTAGAACTATATTTTTGGGATAGGACATTACAATGGCTTCATAACATAAATTCCTCAGAAAGAAGCTGATAATGAGTTAATAGTAATCATCCTCTGAACATAATACAAGAATATAAATCATTATAAGTTCAAAAAGAACAAAAAGATAATATAATTCATTATGCTAATTACTTGCTAATGTACACAAATAATTTGTGAGTTTTGACTTAGTGGTACGATTAGGAGCTGCGAGTTGTAAGTTTGAACCCTAGTTGAAAACAATTTAACCAAGAACTATATATATCATGATGTGAGCTTTTTATGAATAAAATGCTCTTCTTGCCTTTTCTGTTGCTCACCAAACAGAGTATCCAGGCCAAAAGGATATGTAACCCTAACACAACAGTCCATTGGTAACAAAAACTTATTTTGGATTCCTAATGTTCTTAAGAAATCAAAGTTCAAAGAAACAATGTATGCGACGTCCAAAAATCTCAATAAATAGAGGTATTAATAGGACACTCTGTATTAGGGAAAGATTACTACAAAGAAAGGAACCATGATATTCATTATCTAGATAATTAAGTGCAGAAAAAATCAATGAAATTATATAAAATTTAGGCAAAAAGTATAAAAAAGAAAACTCTACCTATTTTGAAATTCTATATTCTCAACTCCGTTTGCAAAAAATAAAGCCATCAATCTATACGAGTTGATTTTCACCTTAGAATTCATCAATTTTCCAAATTGTACAGGCCGTAAATTCTTTAGCAAGAGATGATATTAGTACCATAACTGATTGCTTTAAGACTTGAATCAGACATATTTGTCATCCATCTTTGAGGGCCTCCAGTTGATTCTCCTAATATATTATATGCATAAGAAGGCCATCTCACATCCGGTCCACAAGAGCTTGTGACACCCATTCTAATCATCTTTTGTGTTCTCTCAAGAGCAATGAGACTTGAAAATGTAGAGAAACTGTTCCCAACAAATACATCAGCCCTTAAGCACACTTCGTAATCTATGGCTGACTGAATGAGGTACGGGTACTTCTTGTAAATCCCATCAACACCGAGTTTTTTCTTCTCGAATGGATGCAAACCATCTTTCCAACCAGTTAGTATGGAAGGATCTTCAAGAAGACTATCAGCAACAGCAAGATAAACGACAATAGGACTTTTCAAGCCTGCAATTTTCCCTACTCGCTCCATAATCTCCTGCTTGCTACTACAAATTTGGCTTATCCTTGATCTTTGTTCTAAGTTTTTACAATGTATCATCCAATCTATCTCTATTCTCATATGAACAGCTACATATGGCACTGGCATTGATGGAGAATCATCTGACTCGAAACCACTTTGAGTAGAATCAACATTTCTTCTCATTTCTCTTCCTATTTCTCTTATCTTTGACACAACTTTAGATGCTTCTTCCGATATCTCTTCAACCAAAACCAAGCATTCAAAGACTCGAGCATAGTCCTTAACTGGCCAATGATCATGCCAAAGAAATGGATTTTTCCCAACTATTCGAATTACCTCATATCCATCATATGGGTTCTTGCTAAATTGTTTCAATTGATCGAAATCTCTCTCTACTGTCCATTTCCTTCCACTTCCCTTTTGAAGCTCATACACTGTTGTTTTGTTACTAAGATCTGAATAGTCACCCAACTGCACAAACCCATTACAGAGTGAATTAAACCTCTCAAATTGAAACACTTTATCAAAGGAAATAGGCTGCAATCGGTCTAGTTCCTTGTAGATCAGCGAAGCACTTAAGCTAGGCATTAAAAGAGTTCGGTTCAGCAACCTAGCAGTGAGACAAGCTCTTGCAAATGCTATCTTTTGATTATTTAATCCCCAGACTATCTGAGGAACCTCCAAAAACTTTTCCTTTCGAATTACATAATCGGATTCTAATGACAAAGAACCGCTATGAATCGAATCATGGCTGTTTTGACCAATTCTACCATAACCAGAGAAAGAAGGCAACAGTATAGCTCTGAGAAAGAGTAAAGTAACAACCAAAACAAGACATTTGCATGTTGCAGAATTCAAATTCCTTCCAAAGTATCTTTGATGCTTACAACTAGGAAGCAAGTCCATTAAGGTTCAGGAAATTATAGAATCAAAATTCTCTCATCGGTAACATTCTTAGTTGAATCAGAATAATTACCACAAACCCTTCCAATGATAGAAATCATTTTCATATGAATCTTCCCATTACATATAAAAATCTACAAGACCAAAATAAGGAAATAAAATCAGAACAAGAAATAGAAGTTTTAGGCCAGATAACATACATGCACCTCATTTGATAGAATTAGACACAGAATTTATGAATAATACAGTTAACTAAAAGTGGATTAGATATGGAGTTGTTAATTGCTTTCCATACATATATTCCCACTCTCAGTTTGAATTTCAAGAATCAAGAGTTCAACTAAGAAAAAATCTATAAAATAAAAAGATAGAATTCAAACTTAAAAAAGAAAGTTAAACACCAAAATCCTTATTAGAAAAGAAAAAACAGATAATCCAAAAACAATGAATGAAATGCAAGGTAATGAGAACCTGGAGAAGAGAGACATGCAAAAGTCAAAAAGAAGGTTTGAGTAACGTAAAAGTCGTCTCACCTTAGAGATTTGAATCCCAGGCACTTGAAATCCTCAACAAACAATCTTTGTTTTCTAAATCCAAATTCGTTCAAAACATAAGAATTAAATCAAAATTCTGAAGAAAACCCAGAAAGCAAAAGAGAAAAAAGAGCCAAGAAGAAGAGGAAGAGACGATGGTGGCGATGATCATGCATTAATAGGAAGAATCAAGAAAAGCCTCAATTCACTTCTAGCAAAAGGAAACAAATCAAAGTCATGACAACTAACAACCCAATAAAAAATAATAAACAAATATTAAAGAAACCGTGACCCTTTTGTTTAATTTCTTTAGAAAACCAAGAATATATATAAAAAAAAAAAAGAACACAAATATTGAATATATAAGTTTATACAGAAAGAATGTTTCAAAGAAAATACTATTTATTTAAAAGGAAAAAAAAAGTAGAGGAATCTGCTGTTACATCTGATGGACAAACGCAAAAAAAAGATCCAAAAGGGCAGTGAAAGGGACACAGAGATCAGTACAAGTACAGAGAAGATCACGGCCTTTAGTTATGAGATTCGGAAATGTCAAAAATTGGTAAAGTTAAAAGTTATAAATTTCGCATATTTTTATTTTTCTATTTAAAGATTAAACAACACAAGCACAAACATTGATAAAAACAAAATAAATAAATAAAAGAAAAGAAAAGGGGTCATCTTTTACAGCTGGGAGACGTGACGTGGTGGATGGTTGCAGGTGGGTAAATTTCGTAGCATAGCACGCATATGATGCCTTGTGACTATGGGTTGGCATTTTTCTATGGTCATTACCAATAATGCCCTTCCATTCTCTATAGCTTATTCTAAATGGTTTCTTTCGGTTTCGATCTTGGTCAATGTTTAATTTTTTAAGACCGCTGATACAGCTCGCAGTGATCAGCCCATTAAAAAAAGTAGTCACATTTTACTAATTTATTATTTTTATTTTGAACTGTCTTAAAAATATTTATAAAGTTTTTAAATTTATATATTTAAGTAATTATATTTTTTATAATAATTTTTAAATTAAGGATTTTTATTAATGTCTTAATGAGTTAAGGGCAAAAGAAGGCGATCAGACCATTAAAAAAGTACTTTCTCAGTCTCATTTTATTTGTTTGTTATTTTTATTTTGAATGTCTCAGTTAATATTATATAATTTGATATACGATTAATATAACTTTTGAAACAATAATATTTTATATTTTTTTAACTATCCAATAAGTATGTAATCGATATAATTTTATAAGTTAAGGTCCTTAATAGGTCAAACAAAATGTTTAACAAGTTCAATTTTATAAGTTAAAGTGTTTAATAGATCAAATAAAAAGTTAAGAGTGACACAAAATTTTTTATGAAAAGTAAAGGTAAATTTATTTGCAAATAAATTATATATGAATTCATTTATTAACAAATAATGCATATATATATTATTTTTTATTTTAACTGTCTTAAAAAATATTTATAAAGTTTTTAAATTTTGATATATTTAAGTTAATTATATTTTTTATAATTAATTTTTAAATTTAAAGGATTTTAGATTAATGTCTTAATGAGTTAAGGGGCAAAAGAAGGCGATTCAGACCATTAGAAAAAATAAGCTCCTTTCCTGTAGACCCTTTTCTTTTTTTTCAGTCTATATCATTTTATTTTGTGTTTGTATATTTATTTGTGTATATATTGTCTCAGTTAATATGTAATTATAAATTTGAATATACATTAAATACTAAGCTTTTCCCACACAATAATATTTTATATTTTTTTTAACTAGTGCGAATAAGTACTGTAATCGAACCCCCTGTATTAATTTTATAAGTTAAGGTCCTTAATAGGTCAAACCAAAATGTTTAACCAAGTTCATTTGTGTGTATAATTAAAAGTGTGTGTTTTCACTCACATCAAATAAAAAGTTAAGTAGTGACACAATAAATTTTAATTAGAAAAAGATGTGGAAAGGTAAAACTTTTATTTGTCGATCACAAATAAAAATTATTAAAATATATAATATGAATTTCACAGTTATTAAGCAAATTAAGAATGAGGGAAACAGGAATAATATAATACAAGTGAGCTATTTTGATATAGTAGCACCCTACAATATATATATATATATCCATATTAATTGACCATTTGGTTAAGGCTAAATACGCGCGCTACTTAATTAAGGATTGTTAATGTTATAATTTATATTACAGTTTCCGTGCATAACCTCATAAAAATAGAACGAGACGATGACAGCTCTCATTAAAGACTCTTAGGAAAAAGTCTTAAAACTCTTCTTTCATTTTTATAATTTGCTCTCGAGAAACAATGTATTGTCTAGAGATTTCACAAAAAAATATTTTATATTAAGAAGCGAGAACTTGTCTTGACTCATATGTATAATACTCAATAAATAACACCTTAGATAGAGGAACAATGTGTAGGTATATCATCCGAGCGTTGGAAACATAGTAATTTTAAAAGCCAATACGCATTTTAATACAGTAAGATAAAAATGGAGAATAGAAAACCCATTTTCAAAAGATGAGTGTTACTTAATTTTTGTGAGAGTGTGAATCGAGGCGTGTCAATTAAAAATTAGAGACCTGTTAGAAACATATAATTTAATATTGATTTGTTGACGGGTTTAAGAATGGTCTTGGAATACATTCATACGATATCCCTAATTATTATTTAATTTTATTTATGTTACTTATGAACTACTAATTATATATTATTATTATATATTATAACTCAAATAAAACTTTATAATTTAGAAATATTACTATTTATTTATTTGATGTAGGTAGGGTAAATAGGTATATATGATACTACTTGGGGCTCCCATCCTTTCTAGGTGCTACATATATATATATTTATTGTAAATCTGCAAAAGATGTTTTACAAAAAGATGTAAAAAATCTGGCTTCTAAACAAATTTTTGCTAGATGGCAAGCTTTACTTAGTATATTTGAAAATTTTGCATAAAGAAAAAGATAAAATTATATTATCATCATCACCTTCATCATCACCTTAACCCATGAAAAACTAACTACAGCTAATAAATCTAAATTAGAAATTCTTGGTGATTTATGGTATCAGAGCCTAACGATTTGAGTATTGGTTACAATCACCCAATAAAGTATTAATTTTATAATATATTAATGAAGCTTTCAGCTTTGCCCACTGAGCCGATGAACCCGTTGTAAGAACCCATTTGTTGAATTATTGGGCCGTGAAGGGTATAACCGGGAGGGCATAATCGGGTAGCTTCAAGATTCTTTAATATATTATACGTATAATCCTTTATTGTGTCGATTCTGTAAGTATATGTTCGGTCGGATGATTCTGATTCCTCAGAAAATAAAAAGAATAATAAATTTAGAAAATGAATTAATATTGCCAAGATTTTAGTAAAGCTATAGATGATTGGAAATACCTAAAAAGTAGATAAAGAACAAAATTTATAAAATTTAGGTAAAATTTCCTTTATGGAACACAGATTATGTTTATTAAAAACTGCAAGAACGTGATTTTCAATTAAGCAAACCTTCTTGAACGGGATCACCTCTTCTTTCATCTAAAACATTACAGCAACATAAAAAAGGTAAAAAAAGTATAAATAATTATTCATTTATAGGATTAATTACAAAGTAGGTATTGAAAACCTTTAAAACTTAAGGAGAAGGATTAAAACACTAGATCGATTTGGCGAGTTAGTAAGAGTGCTAGATTTTTAAATTTTTCAAGATTCGTTTATTAGGAATCTGTTTGAAAACAAGCTTAAGTGAAAGGACCAATCTCATTTTGAGGTTTATCCAGATATGACTGTTTTCTTTAAAATGATCTGTAATATTTCTAGAAGTATAATTTTAGAAAGTTTAAAAAACTCATAATTATAAAATGAAGCACAGATCTATCCAATGGCTTAATCTATAAAATCCATTTATAAAGGCAATGAATTCAGCTTTTAGTACTAAATATAAATTGCAACCTAAATTTGGAGAAACAAAATTTCTTCAAACAGATTTAACTAAAACCAATACGGTAATACCTAAAACCATCCAATGGAAGGATATAACCCTTCCCGAGGAATGGACTTTGGAAGGAATTGTTCCCCCTCCAGAACAGGAAAAAGTAAAACCAAATGTCAATTTACAAAAAATTGAACAATTTGAAGATGGTAAAGTAACATTAAAATTTAATAGAAGTCAATGCTCTAGGTATACAGGATCTACATCCTCTGTTGTTACAGATGATGATAAACCAAAAATACCTTCAGTAATTTATGCAAGATATAAGGAATCTGAACTACAGGCTGGATCGAACTTCTCCTGTGTGTACTCCAGATGATGATTAAGCCCGAAAATACCTCAGTTCAATTTATTGTCTAAGATAATAAAGAAAATAACCTTAAAAAAGCGCTGATTATTCACACTTAGGTTTAAAACCTAGTTTTCTTCGAACATGCGAGGTTTATACCTACATCTAGGTCAATCGTTTAAAAATGAAAGGAGGGTTGATTTTATTAGCAATTCAGTCCCACAGGCAGTGTCAAACCGCTTGTTGATCAATTTTATTGTTAAATACATACATCTATTTAGTAAAATATTCTAGCTTTCGACCAGACCCAGTCACCACAGCATTCCACGGCATCACAATGAAACATGTCTCACGTGAAAAATTAAGAGTCCACCAGAGAAAGAAACGTGAAATGTTTTTATAACGTGAGACACCATGAAAATTAATAGAAGAAAAAATTTGGCGTGAGGAGAGAAATAACCAAAAACAAAAGATTTTAGAGGAAGGTTTTCCACTCTAGTTTAGTTATCTAAAAACATAACATAGGATATTTGATACTTAAAAGAAGGAATATTTTGAATATCAACGTTCAAATATAGCGCTCAGAAACATATATGAGAGTTAGGAGGAAATTTTTAGAGTGTAAGGTAATTTCATTATTAGTTACACCATAATTCAAAATAAAAGTCGTTAACCCAATAACAATATCGAGATAGGTCAAGAGACCGGAATGGGATAGTAAATGATTAGGATAATCCAGAGTTGATTTTCCTCCCTAAAGCCATTAGTAAATTTAAAATGATCAAGTAAATGACACTGGAGTAATTACTTGTGCACCATTATAAGTTAGCTAGGAGAGAGAGAAAATTTGATTCAGGATAAAAAATTGGATTGAGTCATAAAAAGTGAAATGTGTTAGAGTCAATGCTAGTTTAATTATTGTCCAAATTGGGAATACACAAATTGTGTAAAAAAGTGATAGTGAATCAATTACGTTCAGCCAGGACCTCTCACACCATCCTCCTAATATTTTGAAAAAAGATAGAACAATTACTTCAGGATAAACCTATAGTAATTGAACAATCTAAAGGAAAAGAATTAGTAAAGTCACATATGTTTAAACCATTTCAGGTATCTAAGTCTAGTCAAAAGGAATTAAATTCACAATTCATAGGAGCTTTAAAACACCAACTTCGTCAACTTGAAGCAAGTTCGGGACCTACTCCCCAAGTAGTTCAGGATTCTTCTGATGCTTCCAGAAATAT